ACCCACAGCATACCAGCCAAACACCGACGGGGGGGAGCAGCCAAACGTGGAGGGGGGTGGGGGTTAGGGGTGGCACGTGGCCAAATGCAGAGTGGCGGGGAGCTGGTGGCACAGCACTTGAATCACTGGCTGGAGCCATGCTCCCTGTCTGGCTGGTTGCGGTATGGTGGGGGGGGTGGCTCCAGCCCCAAATGCTGTGGCACACTGACACATGCCTGATGGCACATGAATGTGCCATGGTATACTGGTTGGCAAACTCTGCTCTAGTGTAATGCACCTAATGTCCCTGAAGTTAAACCAGAATGAATCTGCCCTGCAGTAGTGAATGGTCCCAGTGCCTTTGGCCTCAGGCTGAGTCCAACTGGTAGCCCATTTTATCAATAACATCTTCTCTTTATCTCCATAGCTTGAAGAATAAGATTTGGGTGAATGAATTCAGGTGAGTTGCCACCCCTCCATTATGCCGCTTGGGGTTTCTTATTACTGGTAAACTCTCCCTCTCCCTCTCACACTCTCACACTATTCCCTATAAATATAATTCTTCTTTTGAAAAATGAAGTTGTGCTCCACACTAAGCTTGCTAGAAATATGTCAGCAACAGATTCAGTTTTTAGCCTCTTGCTGGAACTAGCCATGATATTGACTGGCCCTTTCCCCAGCTGTTGGGGGTACATGGGTGCCCGCAGAGCCCCAAGGGCTCAATCCTGTATGTGATTACTATCTAGTGCCTGCTGGTATGAGCAATCCCTGTTAGCAGTATCAGACTAGCAAAGGCCCCTAGCCTAGGTACTGTTCCTAGGCTCCTAGACAAGAAGCCTTTTCTGGAGGGTGTATCTGACCAGTCTGTGCTTGACTGCCCCTTTCTTCCTTCAGGTATGGAGGATTTTCTCTGGGTGCCAGTAGCTCCCTTGTGCTTCCTCCAAGCCATGAAGTCAACGATGCCATCAGGCAGGTGAAGAAGATCTTGGAGCTTGCCAAGGTGAGCAGTGGTGTCCCTGCAGCCCTGAGGCTGTGGCAGTGTGACAGTGGCACCCCTGGGTGAGATGTCTACAGGAAGCAAGCCCTTAGGTTTAAAAACTTCAGCTCCTGCTGTCTGAGAGAGAGTCCCTGCACCTGGACTAGTGTGGGTGGTACTGAGCCAGTATAAGTACATCAAAGGGCATAGGAATCTACTGCTTTGTCTGGGAACAGCCACTGAGGTGCTAAGGTCTCTGGATGCCTGCTAATCTTGAGGACAAAGTGTCATGAAGATGACCTGAAGTGGACATGGCCCTTTGGTAATACTGTGTTTTCACTCAAGTAAACTCCCACTGGTTGCAAAGGGGACTCAGCATGAGAGCCTTAGGAAAGTCAGCTTTTACCATCAGTGACCCCAGCTCAGCATGTATGTATGTGAGCAAGGGCACCTGAAGTGCCCCATGAGCCACAAGAGAGAACTGGAAAAATCCTCTATTCTGCTAGATTCTCACACTCACTCTAGTCCCTTCCTGCAGGAGCCTCCCATATGGGTATGGTACGCAGCAGGGTCTGGCCAGCTGAGACTTCCCTGGATCCAGCATAAAGCACCTCTGTGCCCAGTCCAGAGCAGTTGCCACCCAGCATAGGTTAGAGCAGCTTTTAAACTGCTCTGACATACACCACGGAGAAGATGACCTTGGAGAATCAGAGAACTGCAACCAGCTCCCTAATAACCTCTGAGCCACCATGTTTGAGCTAGTGTTCCCCAAAATTGTGCTCCATTCTTAGCTAATAATTGCTAAAACCTAAGCCAGTGCTGGCATTCTCTTGGGCTCCCTGTGCTCTCTTCCCACTTTGGAGTGCTGTGCATTGTGAATTCAGAGGGAATGTTGGCCTTAAGTGACTCACCTAAAGTTACATGGGGAATCTGTGACCAAGCCAAAAAGGAAGCTGTACAAATAAGGTGCTTGTTGCATTGTGCTGCAATGACTGAAGTGAATCTTCTGCTGTTCACAGGGGGGATCTGGAGATCGGTTTCTGAATAGCTTGGCAAGCTTCATGAAAGGACTGGACACAAAAAACAATGTCAAGGTAAACTCTTGCCTCTTGTGCCTAGCACACTGAGCCCAGGCTCAGGTAACCTTGTGTTTTAACCAAAGTTCAGCTCCTAAGTAGCGGTGTCTCATGATTTCTGCCCCATGTGTGCTCAGAGCAGAGCCTTCTGCCCAAATTGCTTACAAAGACAGAGAAAACAGCACAGCTTTTTGTGTGGAAAGCTGGGGGATAGAGGGGGCTCATGGAGCTCAGTCCCAAATGCATTGAAATTCCTGAAACTGCATCTGCTGACATCAGTATTTGTCAAGTCATGGCCTTGGAAATGAGTAAGCTGTGACTGCTGCACACGGGTATTGGGAAACATATTGCCTTAGCATACATAATCCTTTAGATTCCTATGGCGCTGTAATACCATTTTCCCATGACTAAGATCTCTCAAGAATCCTAGGCTTCTCTTGTGGATGGAGGGGATATCACCCTCACTGAGCCGATTGGCTGGCATGAGCGTTCCCATGACCAAACTGTATATTGTGTCTCTAAGAAGGTGGACAGGATCTTGAGAAAAATTGGGAAGAGCTGCTCTGTTTTCTGGCCCTCTGCTGGGTCTGTTGGGGCAGCCCCGCAGAAACTGGAATGTTGGTTTTGCAGGTGTGGTTCAACAACAAGGGCTGGCATGCCATCGGCTCCTTCCTGAATGTGATCAACAATGCCATCCTTAGGGCCAACCTCCGGAGGGGCAAGAACCCCAACGCTTACGGCATCACCGCCTACAACCACCCACTGAACCTCACAAAGCAGCAGCTCTCTGAAGTGGCACTGTACGTCCTGATGCAGTGGTGATGGGGAGAATGGGAGGGTCACTCTCTGCTAGATCATCCCCTGCTGGGTACTCGCCAGGCTGCTGTATTTGCCATCCACCACAAGGGGTCCATGTGTTCTTAGACTTCCATTAACTGGGTGTCAGGGTCAGCCCTTTCTGAGCAATCTGCACACTGGCTTTTTCTTTAACTCCCCTATACTCAGGCTGGCTGTTACCTCTTCATGGGATGTCTCAGCCCAGCTATCCTAGGCCCCCAGTGCGGACACCTCAGTAGCATAAACACTTCTTCCTTAAGCTCGGAGGTAGATGCCCCGGGCCATATAGTCCCCCTCTTGAGGGAGATGAGATCCAGACACACAGGCTTTGTCAGGGCTCTAAAAACCATTTGGTTTCCATTTGAGTGAATGGAGAACTACACAGAGCAAGACAGGACAGCACTGCCTCTCTCCACTGCTGCCTCCACATGCTTGAGTGTTCTCAGGGCTTAGGTCAGAAACCTCTAGGATTCCTCCCCTCTCTGCGCTTCAGCCAGTTTCCTTCTTCCTCAGCTGTTAAAAGGAACCTTCTGCTGGGACACCTTGCTGCTCTGTTCCTGCGAGTCTCTCTAAGTTACCCCCTCCCCCACACCCCAGGCCTCTCAGTCTTGGTAGCTTTTCAGACCAAGCAGTAAGACCCAGTCTCTTTGCCATTCAGTTCAGGGGTTTCCCATTCCCCAAACCTGTGGTTCCTGCAGACTCTGGAGAGCCCTGACCACACAGACATGTGCTAAAAATCTCTCGTTTCTATGGGGCTTAAAAGTGAACATGCCCATGAGAGGTCTTAACCTGACAGGCTGACTGCTCTCCCTTCCTCCCCCCTATGCACATAGAGTAAGTAGGCTAGCAGAACTGGGTCACAGTGCAGAGCAAGGGAGCTCCTTTCTGGTGGGATCAGGATAAGATAGTGATTTATTAGGGCTTGTTGACTTCTCTCTACCCAGGATGACCACATCAGTGGATGTTTTAGTCTCCATCTGCGTGATCTTCGCCATGTCCTTTGTCCCTGCCAGCTTTGTAGTTTTCCTGATCCAGGAGCGTGTCAGCAAAGCCAAGCACCTGCAGTTCATCAGTGGGGTGAAGCCATTGATCTACTGGCTGGCAAACTTTGTCTGGGACATGGTAAGATGGCATCCATGAACTCGCCCTTCAGACCAGAGTCTGATGCGTGTAATGCCTTATCTCACCCCTTACTATGTTTCTCCCCCCATGGAGACCCCCATGTCAGCTGGGGCCTGCAGACACTGTTCCATAGAAATTATGGTGAAAATAATCGCTGACTTATTTCCCGTTCCATGGAAGTGTGATCTACCTTAGTATAGGTTTGCTGAACTAAGCAAGATGTGAAGCTGCTAAGAAGCCCTCTAATCAGCATTTATAAGGCACTGCTGTATTTTTGGAGCAAATATTTAATTTTCCGTCCTGTTTTCCCGTAATCTCCCTTTTACCCACTGTTCACAGTGCTAAGGTGCCTTTGGTTTTCATTTGCAACTCCCAACAGAGCCATTTCTTTCTCCTTCCAGTGCAACTATGTGGTTCCTGCCACACTGGTCATCATCATCTTCATCTGCTTCCAGCAGAAGTCCTATGTCTCCTCTTCCAACCTGCCCGTGCTGGCCCTTCTGCTCTTCCTCTATGGGTAAGGCTGCTCCTCTCAGAGCCATTCCTGAGGTCCAGCATGCTGGCTGCTGTGAATGAGCTTGTCTTATGTCGACTCCTTTTGCTCACCAGGTGGTCCATCACACCACTGATGTACCCTGCCTCCTTCGTGTTCAAGATCCCCAGCACTGCCTACGTAGTGCTGACCAGCGTGAACCTTTTCATTGGCATCAATGGCAGTGTGGCCACTTTTGTACTCGAGCTTTTCACCAATAATGTACGTTGTGTCCTCTCCTCCCCCCCGTCCTCTCCCCCACTACCCCTGGGCTATGTAGCTGGCAATCCCAGCTTTAAGGCAGTGTCTTTCCCTTGGTTCTACATTGCTATTAGCGGCTAATTCCCAGGAGCTAACACTTGGTCCAGGAATGGAAGGGATGCCTGGGAATGAGGCCAGCAGTGGGTTCAGGTGGGGTCTAGTGAGGATCTGTTCTTTGTTCTCAGCCCTCAATAAGCTTCCAAGAAGGTTGATTTGTGCTTGATTCTTGCTCCATTAGAAGCTGAACAACATCAATGACATCCTCAAGTCTGTCTTCCTCATCTTCCCCCACTTCTGTCTGGGTCGGGGCCTCATTGACATGGTGAAAAACCAGGCCATGGCAGATGCTTTAGAAAGGTTTGGTAAGTGATAACGCCCTTCCCACCCAATCCTCATGGGATCCCCTGACAAACTATCAGGGGCCTGGTTTTGATTCAAGTGAGCACCCTCCACTTCCACTAAAATCACTGGTTATTGAGGGCTCAGCTCACAGGACCTAATAGGATTGGTGCCAGCCTCAGGCAGTCACAGAGATCTGATCTGAGCTGTCCACAACCTGCTGGTAGCCCCCCTGGTTCACTACCAGAGCCAGAGAGGAACAGCTCTCTGGTATGTAAAAACTTGAATTACAAAGGTGTGAGCTGTTTTTATGTTTTTAAAATAGGGAGTTAAAAAAAAAAGGGTTGAGAAGGAAGATAGCCTTTGGGCAAAAGCACTGACTGTGGGGTCTGGAGATATAGTTCACTTGCTGGTCTGGTCTATTTGGCCACAAGGTGTTCAGGGCAGTGGCTGTCTCTTCTGTGTATGTGCAATGCCAAGCACAGTAGAGATCTTCGGGCATCACTGAAATTACAATGGATGTGCAGACCAAACCTGGGTCAGCCTGTGACCTTATTGCCTCGGTGTCTGCAAAGCTGACTCTGCACTTTGGTAATCTCAACAGGTGAAAATCGCTTTGTGTCCCCTCTGTCCTGGGATCTGGTGGGACGCAACCTCTTTGCCATGGCTGTGGAAGGTGTGGTCTTCTTCCTCATCACTGTGCTCATACAGTACAGGTTCTTCATCAAGCCAAGGTAGGACTTGATCCTGCACTGCTTTGGCTTTGGGGGCTGGTGGGGAAAGGAAGCCTAAGGTCTGCTCTGGAGTCTGGTATGAGGAAGTGGCTTTGGGGGCACCACTAACAGATGGGGTGAGGCAGTCAGAGCCATGCTGCAGAAGATCCAGCCAGGAGCATCAGATCATCCTTAGTGACTTCCCACTAACAGTAGTGTTCCTGCAACCAGTTGTAGATACCCACAGGAAAAAATGCTTGTGCAGACGAGCCCTGGAAGCAGCTGTTCCATCATCTCCAAAGTGCAGTGAGTTAGGCCCAAAACTTGCACTGCTGGTGCAGTTTTGAAACTCAGAGTCAATCTCCCTACATACCACAAGCAAACATTTCCACTAGATGAACCGAGTGCTGTTTTGCCCTGCAGATTTCAGTCAGAAGAACCAGTCACCCAAGTGTAATGAAATTGTCTGAAGCAGTAGTTCGGGGACAGGAAGTTTGTCCTTGTTTGTAATACTTTGAATGGGAACAGCGTGTGTGAAATCAAATTTGTCTGGAGTAGGCTCTGAATGGAGCAGTAACTGTATAACACAGGAGTATATTCTGTCAAGTATTATGCAGTGCCTAAATCTAACAGTGAAATGCTTAAAGAATCTCTGAATTAAGCATAAAGCATCCTAGGTGCATTGGCCATAGGTGAAATTCAGGTGTGTGCACCAACAGTCAGCGTGAAGCCTGTGCATTTAAGCCCTGCTCTGAAGTCCTACAGGGGATGGAGGAGGGATGTGGTCTTTGTTTTAGCTGTCAGCATAGGAGTGTATTGTATCCTGGTAAACTTCAGACATTCAGGGGCTTCCCAGATATGGATGCGGACTAGTACTGTGTCTTTCATATTTAGTGCATTAAATTTGTAGGCCTCTCCGCTTATTTCTTTCTTCCCAAAGGCCGGTTGAAGCCAAGCTTCCCCCTCTGAACGATGAGGATGAGGATGTGACCAGGGAGAGGCAGAGGATAATTAGTGGTGGAGGACAGAGTGACATCCTCGAAATCAAGGAGCTGACCAAGGTGAGAGAGGGGCTGCCCATTCTAGTGATACTGGTGGGGGACAGTCCAGTTTTGGGCACTGTACTTCAAGAGGGATGTGGACAACGTCAAGAGGGTTCAGAGGAGGGCCACTCGTATGGTATGGGGCCTGCAGGCAAAGCCCTACAAGGAGAGATTGAGGGACCTGGATCTCTTTAGCCTCTGCAAGAGAAGGCTGATAGGTGATCTTGTAGCTGCCTACAAATTCATCGGGGCAGGGTGGGGAGGGCAGTAAGGAACAGGAGATGCTCTGTTTACCAGGGCATCCCTTGGAGTAACTAGGAACAATGGCCACAAACTGTTGGAGAACAGATTTAGGTTACACATCAGGAAGAACTTCTTTACGGTAAGGGTTGCAGAATCTGGAATGGGCTTCCAAGGGAGGTGGTGCTCTCCCCTACCTTGGGGGTCTTTAAGAAGAGGCTGGACATACACCTGCCTGGGGTCGTCTGACCCCAGCACTCTTCCCTGCCCAGGGCAGGGGTCGGACTTGATGATCTACTGAGGTTCTCTCCAACCCAAACATTTATGAATCTCCCAGAACAGCACAGTTCACTGAGGGCTTGATCAGTAGAAAGACTCCGACTGCTTTCCATAGGCTTTGAATCAAGCCCCAAACTTATATCACTTGCAGACACAAAAAAAATGCTGCTCTGTGCCATCAGTTAGAGGGCACTGGATCCCAGCATTTTGTTTATACTTGGAACCACAGATATTTTTGGCATGTGTCTTACATGCCCGTGGTGCTATCTGAGGAATTCATTATTTAGGCTTGAATCGGGCACAGTGGGTCAGGCTTTCAGCTGGTAGCACCATGGAAGTCCATGGAGCAAGGCCAGTGCCTTTCAGCTGAGAACTAGCCTCAGCCTACCTGGCTGCAGACTTCAAAGCCAAGCTCCCTTCATTGTCCAATGCTACCCAGTTAACTAGTGACTCCCATAAGTCTAGCTAGTACAGCTTGATCCTGTAATAAAAAGTGCCCTTACTTGCTCATTCTGGAGCGTTTTGGGAGTTTTGCCACTACAGGGGGCCAGGACTTGAACCTTGGGAAGCAGTTCTGGCTCAGACTTCCCCTCTCTCCCCTCTCACCTACCTTGTCCTCATTCACTTTTTCTGGTTTCAGATTTATAGAATGAAGCGAAAACCAGCAGTGGACAGGATCTGTGTTGGCATCCCCCCTGGAGAGGTAACTGCCAATTGATCACATGTATCAGTGCATTTGGCTTTGCTGAATGGTTCCAGAGCGCTTGAAGGCCCTAAGTAGAATTAGGCATTGACATCTTTGGGGTAGATGAAACGGGGGCCCTAAATTGAAGTAGTGCATTTTTTAAAACACCGTTTCAATTTAGGGCCCTTTAAACCCCTGTGTTGTGTACACACCTGAACTTACCTGCCTCTCTAGTGGTGGGGAGGGGAGGGCAAGCTGCCGGCGGGTGGAGCAGTCCCTGGGCTGCGGTGGGAGCTGATGCTTCCCTCCGCAGCAGCAGCAGCCCCCTGCCCCAGGCAGCACCCACCCACAGGCACCTGCCTCAGGCAGTCCTGGGGGGCACTGCATCCATGGAGGGAAGCGCCAGGCCCCCATGCAGCTCAGGCAGGCAGGCTCCAGGGCAAAAAAAAAAGGATCAAGCTGACTGCTTTTTTTTTTCTTGGGCGGAGCCTGCCTTCCTGGGCTACTGCCAGGCTGCCTGCACGGGCTTCCTGCAGAGCTCCTGAGCTGCACAGAGCCCAGTGCTTTGCTCCACAGCTGTAGGGCAGCAAACTCCTTGGAGGAGTTTTAGTTTGCTGCACCCCAAGTCATTTAAGGTGCATTACGCTGCTGAATTTACTACAGCGGCTGGAATTACTGCACAGTAGCCCACTGACACGTGCAAATACCAACACCATTAAAGCAGTGCAAAAGTATTTAACCCGTTCTAAAGTGTCATGCA